CGGAGGTTGAAGTTCGGGTTCAAAAAGCTTCGTTTATTGACGATTGGAGGTAAAATACTCAACCAAATTTCGAGTTCTTTATATGCATGGCTTCCTTTTAGGTCCTCTATCAAACCCCAGTAGCCTCATGTCTCGTATTTGTGTTTTCGTTGTTCGATTTTTATGTTTTTAAGTTGTTAAGTTTTAGTTTTAAAAACGAACTTTAAATGAGTAAATGGAACTCATTTGTTGATGAAAATTCATGTTCTTTATGTCAAAGTGTTGTTAAAAATATTACCAAGAGTTTGTTGCCAAAAGAATGAAGAAGAATGGTCAAGAAACGAGCCATTTTCAAGCTCAAAGTTACACAAATCGTGCAGCCATGGTTGTTTCTACATATGGGCTGTTTTTGCATATGGGTCAGGAGCCGGGTCGGACGGGTCAGGCCCAAGACCCGCGCCCGTTTAGCCTTTTAAAAAGTGGAATGAGGGCGCATGGTGAGGGCAAGACTCGAACCCGCAACCTCAACCAAGGAGCCTTGAAGTGTTAACCATCAAGTTGACTATGTATTATGTTATTATTATTCACTGTTATTGGTAATATATATTATATATTTAATCTTCAAAAATTAGCATTTAGTCCTGCATAATGATTTACGTGACTTTCATTAAATTTATTGGTATTTTGTAACATGCAATCTTTTACCCAATTTCGATTATTTATCTTATTTAGTTACCAAAATGACCTTATTAGTGTGAAATCGGTATTTTAGCAATACTTTACGTATTTGCTTTATAAATTACCGAAATGACCCAATGTTCTTGGGATTGTTATCTAAGTTCTATTTTGAATAAAATCCTTATGAAAATTACCAAAATAACCCTACAATATGGAAATCGGTATTTTAGCGATACTTTACGTATTTGCCTTGTAAATTACCGAAATTACCCTATGTATTGGGAATTGGTATCTATGTCTTATTTTGATTATTATCCTCGTGAAATTACCAAAATGACCTCACAATTAGGGAATTGATATTTTAACAATACTTTGAGTATTGCTTAATAAAATTACCGAAATGCCTCTAGACATGGAAAATTGGTATTCTCACATTATTTCGAGTATTAATTATGTTGAACTTTAAAGTTATGGAACGACCGTTATTTATATGTGTGTGACATGTTCTCACCTTTACTTACATGCAAATCTTAAACGAGACGTTTTCGTCACAAGACATTTATTTTATAAAAAATGATTTTATAGTGTTATAAAATGAATAACTGACTATACGAAGTGTTACTCGAGTTGAAAATTTATTAGAACGCTTTTAACTCGAAATATGTAATTATTAACATGTCTATCATATAATAGATAACTTAATAATCACATTTATGATGTCGTTTTAAGATATATAGCTAGACGATACACCTTATGTCGGAACTCACGTTCCTATAATTTTAGTTGATGTGAGGAACGTTCTTAAGCATAGTTGACCAAGGTTGATCCTAGTCAACGTAGTCGACCGAAAGTTGACTTTTATGTTAGCCTTTGGCATAAATTAATCATTTATATGCTATTCGCTATTATAAATTGTAGGTTACCAGTCAGCGACATTAGTTAAGCAACCTTCGTTGTCAGGTGAGTCTTCATGAGACTTACAATGGGATGCATACCTATGTATAAATTTATTTTCGAGCATTATATGATTTATATGGTAATGTGTACATATGCATGATGTTTCAGTTTACATAAATGATATATTTTACATGTATGTTATTTTGTGAATGGTTACATGCTAAGTGTTTAATCAGTTTTCAAATAACTCTAGCATGTTGTTCCATATTAAAGTTTATGATTCAAGGGGTGGGCATTTGACCAGTAAGTCACGACCAATATAAAACACGACCCGGATAAGTAGGTGATCAATCAAGACTGACATATCAACCCAAGGCGTGTTTGTGACTAAATGACCCATACCCGACTAAACATTATATGAGATCTCTTATTTTCAGTGTTTTAAATATATATTTTCTTAAAGTTGTGCTTTTATTATAAAGCATGCATATATGCCATATATATATATATATATATATATATATATATATATGTCAAGATATGATTTTATTCACGCAAACCATGAACTCACTGAGCTTTATAAGCTGACTATAGTATGCATCTCAGGGCCAGGTAGTTCGAGGTTCGATAAGGGCAAAGGACACGCTTAGAAAGTTGTTAATTATCATCTTATTTTTAGTCTTTTGTCTAGCAGCATTGTGTCGATCTTTTGTAACTTAATCTGGTATGAGGTGGGTTAGAACTTAAGTTAATTTTTGGTTGATTCAAATACTTCCGCTGTAAACGGTTTTATTTTAGCCGTCTTTTGGAGTATTAATTTAGGAATCTGTTTCAGATTACGTAACATTCTCATATTATAAAAAAATTGAGGGTGTTACATGCATGATTGAAAGTATGTTAGTATGCATCGGTTTAATATGCATAAGTGTTATATGCATGCATAGTGATTAAAATTGTATGCATATAATAAAAGTGTATGCATGGGTATGTATGTATATATGTATGCATGATATGAATATGCATGATTAAAGTATGTTAGTGTGCATAAGTTTAATGTTAATGATATTATATATATATATATATATGCATGGATATTTGTATATATGATATCGCATGCATGAAAAGGAATATGTATGAGTATGCATACATGTTTGGAGCATGCATGAGAAGAGGTGGTTTAGCCGCCATACTATTTTAGGAATGTATAAAAGGAGAGTGAGGTCTCCAATCTCTCTTCTTGCCATTTTTGAGAACCTTGAGAGGAATTTGAGGAAGTGTTGACCGGATTGCCTATTGATTGAATTTCTAAAGTTGGTTTCAAAAGAATTTCATAGGTGAGTGGTTAAATGTCTTTTAAAAGTAATTTTGATTCGTATAACTAATTTGAGTTATGAATGTTTACCCGGATTTGGCTTTAAATCGGACAAGTGATGTCTGGATTATTCTAAGTCGGACACGTGTTGTCCGATTTAGTTTTAAATCGATTACATTGTTGATCAGATTAAGAGTTAGTGAGATTTTGAATTATGTAAACCGGACAAAGGTTTTGAACAGAGAAGTAGGAATACGATCAAAGATTGTTCGGATTAAATATAAACCCATTGGTATATTGTTCGGTTTAGTCATAAACCGATCAAGGCTATGAGAGGACTAATGTAATCCGATTAAGTGAGACTTGGATTTAAAAAGTGTTAGAAAATGTTGTTTATGTAAATCGGACAAACGTCATGTGTTGTCCGGATTGTTAATCCGGCCAAGACTTGACCGGAGATGAAGTCCGGTCAAGTCCATGTTCACTAAATTATTAAAGTTAATCGGTTTAATACTTCGAATAAAGTATATGATTAGATAAATCATCATTATAATATTCTTTTATAATAATAAAGTATGAAAATTTTGGTAAGGATGATTTTGAACTATTATATTCCATTAGGACATTTATGACTGCGGTCTGTTCTAATCGAAAATATTTTGTAAATGATTTGATGAGGAAATAAGGCAGGCATATCAAGGAGAGGTGTACCATGGGATAAGGGTGGCATATCAAGGAGAGATGTACTTTTGGATATAAGGGTGGCATTCGTATGTGTGATGTATGATATAAGTCTTACTCTTATATCCTTTAAGATTATTGTGATTTGGAATCTTTATTTCTTTGAGATTTAAAGATTTAGAATCAGGGTTCTTATTGGAAATCATAGTCTAGATGTTATTGAGAAGATGATATCAGGTTTTGGCCTGAAACTTTGAATAGACCTTGTTTGTAATTGAAAGCATTTAAAAGTGGCATGATGTGAAACCTGGTTTGTCTAAACCTATTTAAGTTTCCGGCACCCGGTCCAGAAGCAATAGTCTGGCCCACACTAGTGAAGTGTCATCACGAGAGCCCATCAGGCTAAGGACCACACCCGAGCCTTCGGAGGACTACACGCCTCGCACCCCTATACGTGAGGACATGATGGAGACTATAGAGACCTTGAGGGGCGAGAACACAAAGCTAAGATAGAGGTTGACCCGAACTTTAGATGGGAATACTAGACTGAATGAATGGCTGAACAATTTGGCACATGTCGAACAAGGAGGAGCCCTAAACGAGCTAATTATAGAGAATGCAAATTTGTCGGAACAACGTCATGCACTAATTTGGGATAAAGTTGTACTTCAACAGGAGCGAAGAACTGATGCTCGCCCCATAGGCGCTAGATTTAGAGACAGAGTTCAGTTCTATAAGAAAATGACCATAGACTATGCTAGTGTAGTGAGGGGCTATTTCTCCGACTGGGTCCAGTGCATCAAAAATGGCCCAAAGGCTAGTGCGTTGTGGCATTCCAAGCCATCCACATCTTTTGAGGAGTGGTTGAGGGACCCTTATCTCCCTTATTACCCTGCATATCAGTTTTAGACATAGAATCCTTTTAAGAGAGGGGAGAGAGAAAGATCTTTTGGGTATGTGATTTAATTGTGCGTGTCTAGATAGTTTATCGGATTTTCATCTAGTCCAGTGCTTCAATAGATTTTTTTAGCATTCTCATGATTTAGAGATGTGTTTAGAATTATGAAGTATCCCATCTTTTGTAAGTAAATGGGATTATATAATGTCTCTCTCTCCATGATTGTTTATTGACACGAAATATATATAGCTTACTGAGCATTATGAAATTTTCGACGTGAATTCCTTATTATGTATTTCGATTATATATAGTGATTATATTATATAAAAAAATGTAATGTGTTATGTTTGACTTTAGAACCTTCTTAAAACGATAATACCCTATTATGTCAGTATGGTTTCTCGTGGATCAACAAGGAACGCCCTTAATGGGGGAGGTACTAATGGCATAGCCCCACCAACAGTTTGAGGTCGGACATGAGCCCAAAGACGATGTCGAGGAGGTGTCTGAACCGCTAGTTCTAGTACGACTCCATCCGTGCAAGCTAATTTAGCTATGGGTAGAAGTCAAGGAGGCCGAGGAGAGGAAAATCTCCTCACAAAGGAAATGATAGCTGAGCAAATGGCACAAGTCCTCCGGGATACATTGCAAAATATGCTTAAAGCAATGTTGGGTGACATATTTAAAGACAATGAAGATGGAGAGGAGGAAAGTGTTCGACACGAGAACACTCAAGCCACTGAAAAGGTGAAAGTATATATTAAAGAGAAGGTGGAGTCGCCCACCAACGAGAGAACTGAATTGACAATAAAGGAGAAAGGATGTAGTATTAAAACATTCAAAGGCACCAAGCTGAAGGAATTTAAGGGAATAGAAGGCCCAGTTGGCCTGATGAACTGGGTAACCAAGATGCAGAGTAGCTTAAAAATTTGTAGATGCGTAGAAGATCAAAAAGTGACCTATGCTGCTACAACCTTTGTTGACTATGCATTGCATTGGTGGGAGTCTGAGTGTGCAATCAGAGGTGATGAGGATATTGCTGCCATGACTTGGGAGCAAATGAAAAAGATGATGATGGATAAGTACTGCACACAATCGGAGGTGAACAAGCTAGAATCAGAATTTCTGAGATTAAAGCAAGGTTCGTTGTCGGTTCAAGAATATGATAACGATTTTCTTGAGAAAGCGAGGTTCGCCAGTTACCAGGTGGCTACCGAGGAGAGAAAGATAGGTCACTTCAAAGACGACTTAAGAATCAAAATCAAACGGTACGTGGACATGACAAAACCGACCACATTTGTCCAAGCAGTGGAGATGGTGAAGATGGCAAAGGAGAACAACGCTAGGGAGAATTGTGATAGAAGAGATGCAAAGAGGAGATGGGAAGGATCGAACAAGTTCAACAAGAAACCAAAATGGACTCCGACTCTGGCAAAAACACGAAGTGATGGATTCACTATTCCTCCATGTAACAAATGCAATAAGAGACATAGGGGAGAGTGTAGAGCGGGGAGCCTGACATGCTACAAATGTGATAAACCTGGACATACCGCACGGGAGTGCCCAGAAGGAAAAACTTGTTATGAATGTGGGGCTATGGGACATTTACGACCTGACTGTCCAAAACATCGAAATGGTGCGACACCCCACGTAAAGACGGTGAATAATGGATTTGGGAAGAGATCAGAAAATAGGAAGGAGCTACCTATGGGACACGACCGAGGTTCCAACATGACTTTGAAGGAGGCCAAGGAAACACCCGACGTCGTATCTAGTATGTTCCCTATCAACAATGTGTATGCACATGTATTATTTGATTTGGGTCCAAATGGTAGTTTTGTGTCTACTACCTTCTGCCACTATCTGAATAGGAGTGCCTGTAGACTAGACAAAACTTACACTATAGAAACAGTCGACGGTAGTCAGTGTAAGGTAGACGAAGTATTTGATGAATGCACAATTGTTATAGATGGTAAGGATTTCCGTGTTAGGCTTATGCCAATGTGTTTAGGGGGTTTTGACATGGTCTTGGGGATGGATTGGTTGTCCAACAATCATGCGTAAATAGTATGCAATAAAAATATGATGAAGATTCAAACTCCGAAAGGAGAAACAATTCATGTTTACGGTGATCGAAAGAAGTGTTGCATAGGGTTAATCAATGCAGTTAAGGCGAATAGGTGTCTGTGGAAGGGATGTGTGGCTTACTTGGCATACACCATCGACGCCAAGCTCGAAAAGAAGGCAATACATGATGTTCCAGTGGTGAGGGATTACCCAGAAGTATTTTCGGATGAATTACCGGGAATACCACTAGAACGTCAGGTAGAGTTCCGAATCGATTTGGTACCAGGTGCGGCACCAATCGCAAGGGCACCTTATCGTTTAGCCCCAACAGAAATGCAAGAGCTGATGAAACAATTACAAGAACTCTTAGATAAAGGGTTTATCAGGCCAAGCTCGTCGCCATGGGGAGCACTGATTTTATTCGTCAAAAAGAAAGATAGCACAATGAGGATGTTCATCGATTATCGGGAGTTGAACAAAATCACGATAAAGAACATATATCCACTGCCAAGGATCGATGACCTCTTCGATCAGTTGCAAGGAGCCAACTATTTCTCGAAAATCGATTTAAGATCGGGTTACCATCAGTTGAAGCTTCAAGAAGAGGATGTGTCGAAGACCGCTTTTAGAACTCGTTACAGACATTACGAATTGGTAGTAATGCCTTTTGGGTTAACAAATGCACCTGCGACATTCATGGACTTAATGAATCGAGTTTATGGACCGTATTTGGACCAATTGATCATAGTCTTTATAGATGATATTTTAATCTATTCGAAAAGTAAAAAGAAGCATGAACAACACTTAAGGATGATTCTTGAATTACTAGCAAAAGAGCAATTGTACGCCAAGTTCTCAAAATGTGAGTTTTGGTTGCATGAGGTACAATTCCTTGGTCACATAGTCAACATGGAAAGGATCAAGGTGGATCCGGCTAAGATTGATGCAGTTATGAACTGGGAATCACCAAAGTCAGTATCGGAGATCCGAAGTTTTCTAGGCCTAGCCGGGTATTACCGAAGAATCATCCAAGATTTCTCCAAGATAGAAACGCCTTTGACAACACTGACAAAAAAGTCAGTTAAATTTGATTGGGGAACGAAACAAGAAGAAGCATTTCAGACACTTAAGGAGAGACTAAGCACTGCACCGGTTTTATCACTACCAGAAGGAATAGAAGATTTTGTCGTTTATAGCGATGCATCAAAAATGGATTTGGGTTGTGTACTAATGCAGCGAGGCAAGGTCATTGCATATGCGTCACGTCAGTTGAAAGAACACGAGTAGAGATACCCAACTCACGACATGGAATTAGCAGCTGTAGTCTTTGCGCTAAAAATATGGAGACATTATTTATACGGTACGAAGTGCATGATCTATTGTGACAATCCGTCATTTCGGGATTTCAGGTTAGTACCTTATTTTAGGATCTTTATTGTGAATTAAGTCTTTCTAGGATTTAGCTATGATGATTAGAGAACGTCTTACTTAATTCCCAAGATTGGTTCGGAAGAACACGTTTCGGCGGGTAACTGACAAATTTAACTTGTGCAATGCCAAATAGTCTTGAAATGCTCCAAATAAAATAAAGTTTATATTTTAGGTTTTGTATTTTAAAATTTTAAAATTTCCAAAGTCCCATTTTATTGGCCAAATATGTTATTAAAGGGTGGAGTTTTAAAATCTTTTATTTAGTTGTTTTGTTTAAATAATTTATAGAGGGTTTTTATTATTTAGAAAAATAATAATTTATAGGGCTTGGGCCTTTAGAGGCTAGCCCATTTCTTCTTTAAAAGCCTTCATATAAATACCCCTCTTTCTTTAAAAACTCTCATTTCCAACTCCCAGCTTAACGTGTCATCTCCCTCTAAACTCGACCACCTTCCAGCCGATTCTATCGTCTCGCAAGTCTTTAAGGATTCTGTTACTCTTAAGGATTGTTCAAGATTCTAAGAAAAGGTATGAGTTGAGCTCTCCTATTCTCTCAAAAATTCGAAAGTTTACATTCTCCTTAATCAGTTTTATTATCTTAAAAACTCGATGAAATCGGAAAATATTTTTTCTGGAGTTTGTTCGATGATGATGACTCAAGCTGGAGTTTAAATTCTTGAAAATGATGAGCTTGAGACCCCTCCCCATCATTGCTGTCATTCTTGGTGCATGCAATCTGTTTTAGGGGCGTGTGTCTCAAGGTGGTAAAGTATTTAAGAAGAGTCTCAAACCCACTAAAAAATTCTTGATTTTGGAAATTGGCGGCTGTCATCATTATTTTGGATGACTTAAGATGATGTCATTAGGTGGATTTTGGAAGGTTCCTTTTGAAAAGTAAATATTAAAATATCGGCTTTTATTTTATAAAAACCTTGATGGCATTGCATTAAAAGCAACTTTGCTTTACCTTGGGCAAGAAACCTTTAACTAATTTAGCACTGGATATTGGTCTGTTCAGGAAGTTCAGGCCTAGAAGGCTTCTAAGGGAAACCTCCGGATATTCATCAAATTAGTGAGTTCTCACGGCCCCACTTTTACTGCTTTTGATTATTTTATGGGGGAAAAACATGAAATTGAGCAAACTTTGCATGTTTATTTATGTAAAACCTTTGGACTAAGGAACTGCTTAGTCAAGTTTTTGTTTGAAATCTTTGGACTAAGGAACTGCTTAGTCGATGCTTTGCTCAAAACCTTCGGGCTAAGGAACTGCTTAGTCGATGCTTTGCTTGAAACCTCTGGACTAAGGAACTGCTTAGTCGGGTTGTTAACTGTTATTGCACTTTGAATAAATGTTAAATTGATGTGCTTGAGAGTATATTTTCGAAATAAAAGTACCCGTCCGTAAACGCTACTTGTTAACTCGGGTACATCCCCGGGCCGTGGTATTGTGGATAGCCGCTATTGTGTTGACAGTCCCACCCAGAAAGGGGTGCACATTACCTACGTTTTTCTTGGTCTAATCATGTGGAATTTGGACCACCACTGAATTAGTACTATATTGAACTATGGGACCTAAGTAGTGTACGGGCTACTTTTGGTTGTTCGAAAATTAATGGGGCAGTTGGTCAGGTAAGGCTTAGTAGCGTCTCAAGTTCTACATCGCGAGAGATTTACTTTTATTAAGTGCAAAGAATTCGCATAAGTTTGCAATTACTTGGTTTATGCATTGAAATGTTTTGTGCATATGAAAACCCATGAACTCACGAACTCTTTGTAGTTGACCTTCTTTTACTTTCATGCTTTTCAGGATTTAAGTAAAGTTGGTTTTGTTTTGGGAGCATACTCGTGGCAAGATCGATTAAAGACTGAAATTGAAGTATTTTGAGAAAAGTGTATTCAGTTCTAATTTCAGTTATGTCGATAAACTTGTTTTGTTTTTGAACAACTTTGAATGGTGTTATTTATTAACTGTTGCTATGACTTGCTTGCCTGTTACATCTCGCGTTTCCGCTTTAGCGGGGTGTGACATCTATACTGATCATAAGAGCCTTAAGTACTTGTTTGACCAAAAGGAGCTAAATATGAGACAAAGGAGATGGATGGAACTACTTAAGGATTATGATTGTGAGATTCACTACCACCCAGGTAAGGCAAATGTAGTTGCCGATGCACTTAGTAGGAAGGAGAGAACTGGACCAATCAGGGTTCGAGCCATGCAGATGAATGTTAAAGTGTAGCTTATAGACCGAATACAGGATGTCCAAAAGGAAGCTTTACTCGAAACGAACATCAAAAAGGAGAGAATGATTGGACAAATTAAGACTATGACAGCTAGAATAGATGAAATATATAGACATAGGAATCGGGTTTGGATTCCTAGTTTGGGGGACCTAAGAAATGTAGTGATGGATGAAGCACATAAGTCCAAATACACTATGCATACAGGTAGTAATAAGATGTACAAGAACATAAAAGAAAGCTATTGGTGGCTTGGTATGAAAAGGGCAGTAGCTAGCTATGTGGGGAAATGTTTGACGTGCTTGAAAGTGAAGACCGAGCATCGAAGGCCGTCTGGAATGTTGCAACAAATGGAGATCCCAGTATGGAAGTGGGATATGATCACGATGGATTTTGTCACCAAACTTCCAAGGACGGTAAAGGGACACGATGCCATATGGGTAATTATGGATCGACTAACGAAATCTGCTCACTTCTTACCGATCAGCGACAAGTATACATTAGAAAGATTGGCCCAACTTTATGTCAATGAGATCTTGTCGAGACATGGTGTACCAATATCCATTGTCTCATATAGAGATGCTAGGTTTACCTCGAGGTTTTGGTCAAGTTTTCAACAAGAAATGGGGACACGACTGAACATGAGTACTACATATCATCCTCAAACTGATGGCCAGAGTGAGAGGACGATACAAACGCTAGAGGATATGTTGAGAGCTTGTGTGATTGACGTTGGAGGTAGTTGGGACAACCACTTCCCGTTGATAGAATTTGCTTATGACAATAGTTACCGTTCGAGCACCAAGGCGGCACCATTTGAAGCGTTATATGGCTGTAAGTGTAGAACTCCAATTTGTTGGGCAGACATTGGAGAAAGACAACTAGCTGGACCCGAGTTAGTCCAATAGACATGTGATAAAATAGTACAGATCAGGGAGAAGTTAAAGGTTGCGCAAGATAGACAAAAGAGTTATGCGGATAGAAGACGTCGACCTTTGGAATTTCAAGTAGGTGATAAGGTCTTGTTGAAAATATCACCATGGAAAGGGGTCGTAAGATTTGGAAAGAATGGTAAGCTAAGTCCAAGGTATACCGGACCATTTGAGATAACTGCAAGAGTAGGAGCAGTTGCTTATCTGTTGAAACTACCAAATGAGTTAGGTAGTATTCACGATACTTTCATGTGTCGAACTTGAGAAAATGTTTAGCTGACGAATCAACTGTTGTGGATTTGGAAGACATCGAGGTTAACGACAAGCTCGCTTATGTGAAAGAACCAGTTGATATATTGGATAAAAAGACGAAAAGACTAAGAAACAAAAATATGC